TATTTCGACATTTAGTCTGTCAAAATTAATTTTTCTTAGTGGCGAAATTAATTTTCATAGTTGTCGAAATTTTTAGTAAAATTATTTGAATTCTTTATGTCAAAATACATTAGGTAGTATAGTTACTTTGTGGAATTCATATAAACAACTAGCGATATCAAAATGTTTGTTGAAATTACTTTTTTTAAAAAATAATTTAGATATCCATGTAAACATTAGGGATGGAAAATGTTTTTTATTATGTAATTAAAAACGGGTGATGATTATGTTCTTAATATATTTAAAAACAAATTTAACTATTCGGACTTTTAATCATCACCTGTTTTAAATCGGTAAAAAAGTGTTTAAAACTGTTTTTTTTTCATCCTTAGTAAACATACATAAGCAAATTACTTATTCAACTTGATAGTGATATTGATAAGGGATTAGATTTGCTAAAATCTACTTATTATCAAGACTAACTTTAAATTTTAATCCAACTATATAACAAAGTACATCAAAAAATCATTACATTTTTATTCGAATTTTAAATTATTTATATTCTATCCCATACAGCATTGCTTGACGTTTGTAACTGAGGTGATATGACAACTAAAATAGATGATTGTTTTGTATATGGAATGGATTATTTAATTTTACCAAATAAATTGATTGTATCATGAAAATTTAATTTCTTTGCGGTGTAGTATTCCTCAATCGCTAGGTGGATATAAATATAGGTTGTACTTCAACTTCCGTCATCATTATCTTAATATGGATGCTTTGGATTTATTCTCTTGATACAGAGGTGTTCTGGATTTGCCGAGGATGTATTGAAAGCTATAATCAACAACATCAAAGTAAAAATTTTTTATATTTTGTATCGTTATTCTTATTCGCAATTTATTAACAATAAAACTTTTATAGTACAAAAGGAAAATCAGCATGAATTAAGTGAAACTATTGAGACAATAGACCTAACAAGCAAAGAACCGTTGGTGTGTTCATCTATAATGAATTCTTTGGAGTCATCTGATTTACCTGAAGTAACAAGCAATGATAATACGAAATTGAAAAATATTAAAGAACCTATTATTAGTAAGTATAATATTATTAACTCTTTCTACTGATCCTTTGTACACAAATTTACGTAAACAAAAATTATTTAAAAACTTCAAAAAATACACAAAGTTTAATAAGAAACCAAACTCAAATCTCTAAGAAAAAAGGAAAAGGACGGCAGAAAGCACTCAGTCTCTTAAGAGACTTGAGTTAGTAGAGCAAAGGCGGCAAGAATATAGAAGAAATCTTGCAAAACTTTGTCTTTTTTGTTTTTTTGCGAATTTTTGGGGAATTGGCCTTGACCCTGTAATGCAGATCTGTTTTGGTAATACAAAAATTACAACATGTAATGAAGAATAAACAAAAGAAACACACCAAAAACTACATGACGAATATAAACGAAAATGGTAAACAACCTCAACAAACAACAACAATAACAAAAAATAATAATGGAAAAACAACAAGTCACGTGAAGCAAAAAGTAACAGAATGTTCTGGAAGAATGATTACTGTACCAAAAGAACT